CGGGAGCTGCCGGCCACCCCCGAGCGCCGGGGCGGGGGCTCGGCCCCTCCCTTGCCGTTCCTTAACCAGGGGGACCCCCGCCCCCCCCCGCTAGATGCCAGAAGTCCGGAGGGACGAGTAGTGCCGGGCAGTGGTCGGAGCTGGTCGCCCGAAGCGTGACAAGTTTTCGGAAGCTGGGAAAAGTTTTGCAGGAGGTGACGGGGGGACCAGTGAATGCGGCGCCGGCGTGCCGGCGGTGACTGGGGAGCCCTCCGAGGTATGGTTTGGGAAGGGGAGCGATGGCTCGGTGAAGGACGCGCTCTCTCCTTGCCCTAATCTTAGAAGGTTGTTTGGGGTTTGGGTTTTTTTAATTTTTTTTCTTATTTTCCCCTGTAGTACGCTAGCTTGGACTTGGGACCTAAAGGGACTTTTTCCGTGACCGCTATAAATGTACGGTAGCCCGATTCCTCACTGTATGAAAGCTTGTAGCTGTGCCGGGTGCGAGCAATGGTGTGTTAAAGACTTAAGCGCATATTAAAGCAGCAAGATATTGGAAACTCCGCTTTCCGGCAGGTGTGACACATCTTTCACTTGTTTATAAACGCTGTTATAACTCAAAATTTCTTTCTGGCTTGCTATGCTGGCCCTTGATTTCTGCATGGTTTTAGGAATATCTATCTGAACTGCATAGAGCCACCCCCATGCATCTGGCTGTGCTGTATTATCTGCCAAATTCATTATTCATCGGGCTTGTTGCTGACTTTTTCTTCTTTCTTTAGTTTACACAGAAGAACTTGGTCTGTATTGATGCTCGGTAACTGAAAAGTTGTGCTAGGAGTTGTTTAGCACAGCGTGTTTAAAATTTAAAGGCATGCTACTTGTTGTGTGGGTATGCATTGCATGCACAAGTTTGCTGGGAATTTGTTTTTCAAATAGATTTCTCTCTCCCCCCCCCCACCCCCCATTTATTTCGCCATCAATCCTCCTTTTTTAAGCAATGTGATAACATAGAAAATGCTTTGCAGTTGATTCTCTTGTATTTTGTTGTGAAAATCTTTAAAAAGTTGGGCTTTGCTTGTGTTTTTGATGGAAGACCCTGTCAAGGAACATCAGGTAGTTCTGCAGACATTGGCAAAAACCCGCCGGGTGTAGGTGACGTGTGTTACAGAGGTTTTTCGTGCGAAAG